ACTTTGTCAGTGACTCCATTAGAAAGAGCACACTCGAAAACCTACAAAAACATATCTGAGAGATCTTTCCAGCGCTTTAAAATCCAATGTCCACATGCCTAGGCAAAAGTGCCCACTGTGCAGCGCATCATGAATCGCAGAAGATCCTTCTAGCATTTCTAATGGAATGAACAGAATTAAGACTAAGTAAAATTTTCACATATGTTAGCAGTTTGTTGTCACTCCTGGTATTATGATCCCACTAAAAAAGCTAACTGAGTTGGATCCATCGATCGTATTTTCATAAGACACGATAATCATCCAAACTATTTTATTAATTCTACAGTTTAAGTCAATTAAAATGATGAAGTAAAAGGAAATCTATTCATCTGGTCTAAGAAAACAAAGAATATCCATAGGCATCACGAGCTTTACGAAATGCTTCAATAAGGCTGGAGCGTCGATGTTCATTCATTTCAATGTCATCATATGTCTCATTTTCATGAACCCGAATCAAACTTGTTTGATTAGGTGGTGCTGTGAGAATACAAGTACTTGACATAGTAATCGAAACGATAAGTGCACGCAGATATTCATGATTCAAGCCATTCTGATTAGCATACAGCGGGTACTATAAAGCAACGAAAAAATAGTGCTTGTCGTTCTGTTAATTGTAAAAGGAGGTGTAATGTTTCATTATCGATGTTGTTCAATGCAGATGGATCGATTTTTAATCCCCACGTTATCACGCCGCCTGCTGCTGATTGACGATTTAAATTAGCGAAAGGCACATAATTTTTCAAAAGCTCTTTAAATTTTTCTGAAGTAGTAATCGATTCGCGTCTTTTGGCTTGTTCCTGTGCTGAAATCAAAGACTGTGATATATTATTCGGATCATCGATTTTGTATAAAGTGAACAAACTGGATTCAAGGTTCAACCGGCTGAGACTTGCCAGATTAGGTCCTGTTGTAATTAGATTGTGTAATGCTCCAACGTCTTTCGACATATCATTATACTTATTTCTTAAAACATCAATATTCTCCGTTGACCACAAGTCAGGTAGAAAATAGCGTCGTTTATTAGCGTCGTTATCTTCTAGGAAAAGATCTTTTTTCCAAGCGTCCAACCAACACTGTCGACCTGTAGCACCAACAAATGATTCGAATATATATTTATTGCCAATATCATGAGGTAGACGATTTGTATTCGATATCGGAAAACTATGAACTAAGAGTCAAAAATATTTTCAATGAACTATTTTTGTATGATATAGTTTTCTATGACAGTTCAGTTAATCGAATTGAAGTAACTAATAAAGATAAACATTGATATATAAGTTTAGTTTATTAATAGTATGTTTAATCGCTGTTAGAAAATGTGCTACAAAATTAGCCAGAAGGCTAAAATTATGAAAAACTTCGATCCAAAATGAAGTTTTTGCCAGGGTAATATTGTTTGCATTCAGAATAAACGTGATCAGCACACAAAATTGAATATAGTTTAATTAATTTATTTAACGAGGGTTGTAATATACAAAAAACTTTTCTTCTCTACATATAACAATAGATAGAGTTGCACAAGAAGTAAAGAATGTTAAGTGAATCTTTTAGTGTCAACGATGTATTTGTGGACATTATTTACGATAAGGATGTTTTGTTCTGGGGTAAGT